CTCTGTTGGCCAAAAGCTATCCCAGCAGCAAATTAAAAAAAGCGGTTTTCCCAATTTAGTCCTTTATTCCAGGCATAAACTTTGAAAGTTAAAACCAAAACTACGTGAAAGAAAATTAAAATTTTTTAACAAGAAAATTAAATTTTAAATATCACACTTACTTTAAATCTAGGTGAAACACAGCGATAGATATCAGGGTTACTTGAGGATGCTGTAACTGTAGAAACCGAAAACCTTCTAGGTTTTTTTTTAATGGTCGCTGTAGGGTCCTTGCCAAGATCAATATTAGTTAAATTCGGTAACGAAGGACTCCTCACCATTTCTAAAAACACCTTAACTACCAAGCCAAGAGTTCAGTAAGCCATAAAGGCTTCTGGAAAACAACACTTTCACAAAATCCATTTCATTTTAAACTTCTTTTGAATATTTTTTAAAACAAAAAATTTCCACCCATTTCAAATTAACACTCAACAGTGACCTTTGGCGCTCCCACCACTTGTGGAAGGTTCGGAACCCGGCGACGGTTTACCTACCGCCGATTCTACATCAAGTGAGCTTTCATCCAGCGCTGACAACGAACGGCTCATCTGCACAATACGTTCCTGTAAAACTCACATTTTTTAACACTCCATTTCAGGATTGATTAGTTAAATAGGACATCTTCCGTCTATAAAAACCTATATACATAAAAAATTTATACAAGTCCACTGATATGCTTCAGACCACTGTAGTCATAGAGTAAAATTCAGCTAAACGAATCATTTAACCTACAAGAAAAATCAAGAAAGTATAAGATATATAGCAATTATCCCTAATTAATTTAACATAAAAGCCTCTAAAAGTGATCGTGATTTTTAAGATAATTTCATAACATTACTTGACAGAACAAAAGCGAAGCGAAGAAAGGAGTACTAACTTTATAATAATTAATCCAATTCAAATGTACCTTACCTACATAAAAACGAATATATTTCTGCAGTGTAGTATTCAACAAAAACAAAAGCAACAACAAAGAGTATCTTAGAACAATTAGACAATCCCTCTTCATTTTGTAGAAAGCAAAAAAAGAAACCTACGTTCAAGTCTTCAACCATCTCTGCACAAGTTAATGAGGAAGAGCGAGTCATTTTGAACCGTGGTCGTCTTCGACGCTTACTACCGAGTTCAAAGTTTTTCCGATTGGGAACTGTAGGTTCTTCATTAACTGCCTTATCTGACTTCTCCACCTCATCCTCTGAAGTCTTCGTTTTCGTCAACTGCTTTTCACTCTCCTCATCTCCAGATTCACCGTCACCTTCGCCTTCTTCAATAGCTCCATCAACGTCCTTCGACGTTTCTGACTGTACTGTCAGCTTTTCTAACGCAATTTTCTTATTTCTCTCACAGAATTCTTTCATTTCATTGAAATATTTGCAGAATTCTTCGTTGTAGTCTTTAACCTGCAATTAAAAGAATTACATAAAAACCCTATTACTAGATACATCGCAGAAAAATAAAAATCCTATCATTAAATACATCGCGGAAAAATTATGACAAAAGTTTACTAAAGCGATCCTGAAAAGACGTTTTATAAAACTTCTTCAGGAAGAGAAAACAGTCAAAAAAAAAAACCGATGATAAAAGTAGGGACAAAAAGTGATATCAAGAAGGGCAGTACCACTCAAAAAACATTAAAAACAGGTACCTCTTTTATAAAATTAAGACATTAAAAAATTATAACCGAAAATTCCTACATGCAAAAATTGCAAGAAGACTATAAAAATACCTTTGTATTGTTAGTATTAGTGCAAGTATAATCAAGGTCGAGTAAAGTTATAGATGTATTCATCTTCATCGCACGATGTAAGGCCAACAAACCGGCAGATCCTATCTGAGCATTATCACGCAAATCGACACGAACAAGTATCTTATTATCACCAATACACTCTGCCAGAACAATAGCGCCTAAAATGTGAAAAAACAACTTCGTAAATATGTAATACTAACGTGCTATCACAAAAAGTAATAAAACTTCCTTCAGTTATTCAAATAAAAAAGTATGTAGAAGCAAAAAAATTTTGTGGACTTTTCTAAATTTCAATTATTAAAGTAGTTTTAGTCAGTAAAAAGAAGTTTCGAATAAGAATTTTTCTAACACTGGCAGTCGAGTCCCGTTGCTTGCAAGCCTAATCTTTGTAAAGACGTGTTTGCCAGTAACGCTGGTTTTAGTGCAGTGATTCCATCCACTGACAAATTATTGCTGCCAATATTCAACGTTTCCAGTCTATCATTTTCCATCTAAAAATTTAAGTCGGAAAAACAAAAAAAAAATGACCGTGATTAACTATTTTGCGAAGTAAAAAATACAAACAACCAGTTGAAGAAAAATCCATACAAGTGTTCTTGCCAACGCTTCCATACTTTTACTCGTCAATCTATTGTTCCATAAAACTAACGCTGATAAGGCACTGTTTCCTAGGGCTTCAGGGTTCCTTAGCCCATCGAAAATATGTGAAACTCCCCCGTCCTACAAAAAGCAAAATCAATAAAAAATTTCAAAACAGGAATAAGAAAAGATTTCAATGTATGCTTAGAAAGATCAATGCTATGTGTTATCCTTTTACAGTAACGCATAATCTAAAACAAACTGTCTAATAAATAAAGAAAATAACAGCAAAAAGCCCCTCCACGCTCTAATTAATTGGAAACAAAATGAATCAACGGAATGGGCAGCGATTCCTGAGTAAAAACGTACATCCGGCTTTATTTTAAGCAATAAAACATATGGGTGCACAGCTTTTCGTCATACGCTTCAAAATACTTCTTCCTCAACAATGTCAAATACTATTTGAGATTCAAAAACACTAGCCTGCAGCTGATTGTTCCTCAAATCCAACATTTGGATTGACGAATTCCCAACGACCAACTGGTAAAGGTAGACTCCGTCAGTCGACTGCAAATTGTTTTCGCCCAAATAGAGTTCTCGAAGTATTGTATTCGTTTTTAAAGCGTTAACTAAACAGACACTTATTCGTTATTAGAAGAGCGCATTCAAGACAGAAACAAAATAAACTATTAAAGGGCATAAAACAAAACACCTAATAACTGCAGACTTTTCCCAGATAGCGAAACATTTTCTATATGAAGAACAGTCAAACTCGGCTGTGCTCTTAAAGTCCGAGTAAGAACAGGAACAGCTCGTTCTGATAATGACGTATATCGTAAATTTAATATTTGCAATGACGGACACTGAAGATAACTAGGGAAGTAACAAGGAA